ACAGCTGTGCCCTTGAGAATTTGCGAAAAGACTAAAATATCACTGCAGACTGCTCTGATGTCTATAGATGCACTGGAAAATAAATAGGAGTCAATGCTTTAAAAAAAATCCTGCGAACTCAGAAAATAATCAGCTATTCTCAGCTTTATCATTCTTCAGTTTAGTTAAAATTTCAACTAGTTTTTAAAAAATTATCAAGTAACATATGCACATGGTAAAATTTTCAACATTACACTGAATATAAAATGAAAAGTATATGAGAGTCTCCCTCCCACGCTGTATTCACAGTTCTGTTTCCCAGAGACAATATTTAACAGTTTTTGTATATCCTTCCATAAACATATACCATGCTGATTGCTTTAATTTCACCTAATGTTCATTTTTCTTTTTTCTGTCTACATTATGGGTATCTCACGCTGCTTAACAAATCATTCTAAAAATTCAGTAGTTTAAAGCAGTCACACTCATCATACTTTTTCTCAGGGTTGGCTGGTGTCTGTCCCTCTCATGTTGACCTATAGCCTCTCGATGTGGTTCTTCCAAATGAGCAGGTGTAGGCCAACCCGCAGCACGGGGACCACACACAGGAGTCAGACTGGCCAACCCAGGAGCTACAGACTTTACCAGTCACCCAATAGCTTTCCCAGCAGTAGGTGGAGGTTACACCCCCTTTTATGCCCTAGCCTCAAAAATCACGTAGCACCACTGCTATCATATCCCACCGGTCAAAACAGTCACAAAACCACACTCAGTTTCACAGGCAGGGGGCACAGACCCTATCTCCATGGGCGGAGCGGAGGGTCAAAACGCCACCACCTTTGGAAAACGCAACCTGGCACTGAACAAAAAGATCTACCTTCATCTTTTTTAAATTGCTGCATGGTATGAATTGTAAAGACAAAATATCAATAAAAAGAGCCTCTAGAGTCCAATCCCCTCACTCTGCCATATAGGCCAAAGTCACCGACTGTGGGACTTTCCCAGGTTACACAGGTGGCCAATCCGGGATGGCATCCAAAGACCCTGATGTCCAATCCTGCCTCTTTCCTAAAAGGATTCCAGGCAACCTGGCTGCTCGGGGCTTCTCACAGTGATAATTGTTAGATCACCAACAACGTACAGAACTTGGGAAGTACACTACACTTAATTCAGTCTTTGTTGCTGATTCAAAAGTTACTTGTGAACCTCAGTCATCCGCCACTAAACTGTAAGCACTGACGACATGGGATGTTAAACGGAATCTATTCCGCCTGTAGTCATGTCCTGAAACATTCCGAAAGTTCTTCTTATCAACTTGTCTCTTAACGCTTTTACATAAAAGAGAACTACGGGGAGAAGAACGTATTATGTTTACATCTTGGATAAGCAGAAGTTTCTAGCTCTGACCGCACAGCTCTGTAAATAAAATGTAGCTCCTTCAGTTAGATAGCTCTCGCCTGGTACTATTTTTAAAATAATGGAAAATCTTCTTCACTTGGTACATTTGAGACTATTTTTGATGTCATGTTGATTGTCCTTATTTATAAGGAATTATTTTATTTAATTTGAAATGTGAAAATTAGAAGGCACCCAATGCTATATTAAGTTTATTACAGTATTTTCTTATCCCTTAAATTAAGATTATGGATGTACCAGAATTTCCCATAATAGTACATGAAAAATATGAAGCATAGTTTATGGGCCCAAGAGACAGGCCGAAAAAAGTCTCAAGGAACTGTTTTAGTTTTTCTGTTTCTGCCCAGTTGTTACTCTCCCAGGAGCCCCTGATGTTACTGACACGCCACAGCCTTCTGTTGCAGCACTGCGGGTCTAGAATCCACTGGGATCAACTCGGTGCCAGTCCAGGCCCCGCCCAACAGTCACCAACAGCCTACTCTGCCCCTACTAGATTGTAAACACGTGGAGAACAGAAACCATGACTGCTGCTGCTGCTGCTGCTTTTTTTGTTTTTATCCACAGCTCTCAGGATAGATAAAAACTCAAAAAAATCACTTATGGAATTGAATTTTCTAAATCTAAACAATGAAAGAAAATGATATATATACCGAAAAAGGAAATGTAATAAACTAGTATTTATTAAGCACCATTATAGATGAAATTCTATGAAGGTTTGAGAAGAAATATTATATGTGGTTCCTTCTTTCAAGGAACTTATAATCAAGTGGGGAAGAAAGTGCAAAAAATATAAGCAACATAGGAAGATGGAGGAAGGGAGATATAGATATCAAGAGAGAGAGGACAGGGAGAGAATGGATGGATGGATGGATGGATAAGTAGATAGATAGATAAAGACCTTGACTGTAAGAGCTTCCAGAGTTCAGGAGAAAGATAAATCAGTGAAGTCTGTAAAAGTAAGAAAAGATTTTAAAACAGATGTAGTATTTGTAAGTGGTGAAAGAGAACAGAAAGAACATTCTAAGAACACAGAAGACGTGGCAGTGGGAATGAACCACAGCACATTCTGGAACAATAACTAGAAAGGAAGACACACCGTGAGAAGAATGTTGGACAGGCAGGTAACATCAGCAGGGAACACACACCCTAACACAACAAGCGAGAGCTCTGCGTGGCAGAGGTTCATGAAAATGTGTCATGAAAGGAAGGATGTAAAACAGTTGCCTCAATTTTTCCCAGTACACAGTTCTTAAAAATCCAACATGCTTTCCATATTTATATTTAAATAATAATTTGGTTTGGGGATGTCAACTGGAAAAAAAGGCAAAAAAAAAGTCTTCCTGTGACATAATGTAATTTCTTCATTATTTTTTCCTACAAAGGCAGAGCAGATGGAAAAGTATTTGAGGCAGGGAGTGTCTTAATTAGCTGCTCAAGGGACCAAAGGTTTTTGTATGACTCATGTGAGTCACTTAAAATCAAGCGACCCAGAGGATGTCCTGAATTGCCCAAGATGCCATCTGGAAATGTGACTGAGGAGCGTTTTTTTTTGGGGGGGTGGGGGTTGCCAGTACTCGGGCCTCAGCAACTCTTCCTAGAAGATTAACCTTTTGCTGCTTTATTCTGGTCTCAAAATCCTTTGGTGCCCATTGGAAGAAATCGTTTCGGAGGTGGCAGAGGACCTTAGAAACCATCTAACTTTGCCTCCGTTTGTTTTATAGAGGAGATGGCTGGAGTGTGGGTCCAAGATCTTTACTAAACTTCAATGCCTCTGCTTTTTGAGAAAAACAACATAGCCATGTTGTTACTACATGAACAGAAGGACGCTTCCCTGACTACTGGATTTACCAGCTTGGGGAAATACTTTTACCTCTCTGTAGATGGGAAAATCATCCGCTCTGAATCGCCTATTTGGGTAATAAGTTCTACTTAGCAACATTTCATTGTATTTAGAGGAGGAGAAACATAAAATGCAATTGTCATCTTTATATAGGAAAGCCCCCCATTCCATACACCTCCTGAAAAGCAGACGACGGTGGTTAGAGCTGGGGGTGGGGTCACAGACACACATACACCACCCTCAGCTCAGCGAGGTGGCGATGTCCAGAATCACGCTACCTGCTGGATGGACTACATTTTCTTAGTTTCCGTATTCTTGATACTCTGGCATTTGGGACTTTGATCCTGGAGATGCCGCCCCTCCCAGAGCTAGCTCATTCCTAGAGATAGCAGACGAGGCCCCTGTGAGCGCAGCTTTGATGGGCAAACCCACCAGAGCACGCGCCCCCAACCACCTCCTCCATCTAACCCTCCAGCACCAAACCAATACTTCCCCTGCCCTAAGTCATGCCAGGGCCAGGTACCAGACAACTAGGGACCACCCCAATAACCCTGAGCCTGCCCCCCCCATTAATTATTCAAACTATCCATCATAAGCCTGTTCAGCATACCTGCCCTGCCTGGCGCATTCTGTAGCATGAAAACCCTGATAAAGCCCTGGGCCATGCTCTGTCCTCTGCCCCGTCTGGCACTTCCCCATGTGGCCCTGCATGGTGTGCCTTGGGTCCTGTTTCTAGGGACCTGTGTGTGTGAACTTCCTCCTTCATGACACTCATTTCTGTGTCTGCATGTCCTACCACACCTGACTGAAACAAATCCTGGGTACACATTTAAACATACCTGCTACGAAGCTGCCACCAAGACACAGTGGCTGCTGTCAGGAGGTTAAATGACAGCAATGAATCGTCTCAGGAAAACCAGGCCAGTATCTGTGAGGCGCCATGGAAACTAGGACACAAAGACACCCCTGCTTTCCAAATTGTAAATATTTTGTGTGTGCATGTGATGCCAAGGAACTCGTAAAAAGGGTATCTAATTAATTCAGAGTGAAAATCGAGCAAATCCCTGCAGTCCTGGCAATGGCAGGAGAGTAGCAGCTGTTGCCATCCACACTCTATTCATTAATGAAAGCACGGAACATTCGGGGAACCACAGTTAGAGCGGGATGGAAGGAGCACAGGCTATAAGGAGCTCATGGGGTAGACTGAGGATCCGGGCAGGAGCCAGGCCACGCAGGGCCGTGTATGCCCATGGAGTCTACCCTTCCAGGTGCTGCAGAGTCACGGAAGACATTCATGCAAGAGAATGACGTGCCAGGCCTACCACTGGAAAGACCGTTCTAGCACCAGTTGAGTGGCGAATAAAGTTAGTGTTAAAAATTTAAAATACACCTTTTAAAATTCTAAGAAGTTTCTAAGAAAATCTAAGAGATTATAACAACAGTCTAAGCCAAGGGGTCAAGAAACTCTTTGTAACCAAGAATGAAAACTTAGATGTTACAAAGACAGAGATAAACTTATCTATTACTTAGGAACTTCAGACTTTTATATGGCAAAGGTACCATAAACAAAGTTAATAGACAAATGACAGGTTTGGGGGTACTCTTCCAATTCAGAAGACAGAGAGTATCTATAACACACAAAGATCTCTGATAAATTGACAACTAGGAGGATAAACAACACAATAGAAAGATGGACAAAGAACTTGAAAAAAAGCAATTCACAGACTAATGACTCTGAATCGATAACAAACATATTTTCACATGTCCAAATCCATAAGTAGCCAGAAAATACAAGTTAAAGAAGCAATGAGGGCCGGGCGCGGTGGCTCACGCCTGTAATCCTAGCTCTCTGGGAGGCCGAGGCGGGAGGATTGTTTGAGGTCAGGAGTTCGAGACCAGCCTGAGCAAGAGCGAGACCCCGTCTCTACCAAAAATAGAAAGAAATTAATTGGACAGCTAAAAATTATAGAAAAA